GGACGAGGACGAACCAACAGAGACGGAGACCTCTGGGGAGCGGCTGGGCGTCAGTGATAATGGAGGTGAGCAGGGCAGGGGCAGGGGCGGCTCTTGGTAAGGTGCCTGCTCAGTAGGGTTTCCTGGAGGGGAATGACTCGCTTGTCCCTGTGTCCTGATGTTCACGAAAGCTGCAGTCTTAAAGAGCCTGGGGGCCAGGCTGCCTTGCCTGGGACTCACTCTATGACCTTAAGCCAGTCATTTCTCCTCTCTGAGCCTCCATTACTTACATTGTGTACTGGGACCAGCTCTGTGCTGGGGGTACTGGGCACAGGGCCTTTTGTCCTGGGACTCCGGGTCTAGCCAAGGAATTGTATCCTGACACGTGGCAGTGCCCTGTGGAGGCCATCGGGGTGGGAGGGAGCCTCCTGAGCCAGGAGCGTGGGTAGAACAGAACTTGTTTCCAAATCTGGAGTCCCTGATGCCTGTGAGAGCAAAGGCAGGGCTTAAAGAGGAGTCAGGGATGCAAGCAACAGCTGAGGAAACAACTGGCTCTTTCCATGTGTTAGTTGTTTTCTTTTTGTTTGTTTTGGAGGGGAGGTAATTAGGTTTATTTATTTATATTAATTTTTTTAAATGGAGGTCCTGGGCATTGAACTCAGGACCTTGTGCATGCTAAGCATGCACTCTACCACTGAGTTATACCCTCCCCACCATATGGAAGTTGGATGCTTCCCAGAGACTGCACTGTAACATTAGGGCTTTGATGGGTGAGTAGGAGTTTTCTGGCAGGAGGGAGCTCAAAAAGTAGTAGTTACTCATTTGCTATTGTTACCACCAATGGCTGGCTTCCTCACTGTGGCTGAAGAAAACCCTCATAGGGTTAAGGGCACAGACTCTGGAGTTAGGTGGCCTGGGTTCAAATCCTGGTGACACCACTTACTAGATGTGGGACTTTGGGCAAGTGAATTAATCTCTCTGTGCCTCCAGGTCCCCATTTGTCAAACAGGGATCCTAATCATCTCATGTTTCTCTCAGCCTGTATTTTTTGAGTCAGTTCATCCCAAACAGATCTTATAGACTTCACATTCATCCAGCCAGTTGCTTTCACCTGTGGATGTAGCAGACAGACAGAAACTTGGATTTATTTCTGCCAGGCAGATAACCAGGGAAAGGGTATTTGAGGCAGAGGGAATAATAATTCCAGAAGGCCTGCGGCTTGCAAGGGTCTGCCAGTGCAGGGATCAGGGAGGTGGTAGCAGTGGCTGGGGTCCTGCTGGACCCGACTGGCCTGGGCCTCTAATGCCATCTGCAGGACTCTTTGTGATGGATGAGGACACCACGCTCCAGGACTTGCCCCCCTTCTGTGAGTCGGACCCTGAGAGCACAGATGGTGAGTGTCTCAGGCTGTCCCCATTCCCAGAGTGGGGGTGGCACTGGGACAAAGGCAGAGACAGAGGTTGAAGTCCACCCTCTCTCCCAGATGGGAGCCTGAGCGAGGAGACCCCTGCCGGCCCCCCAGCCTACTCAGTGCCTCCGGCCTCAGCCCTGCCCACACAGCAGTACGCCAAGTCCCTGCCCGTGTCCGTGCCCGTGTGGGCCTTCAAGGAGAAGAGGACAGAAGCACGATCGTCTGATGAGGAGAATGGGCCGGTGAGGGGCAAATGGGAGGCGGGAGGAGGGTGTCAGGAAGGGCTCAGCCACCTCCTCCAGGAAGCCCTCAGACATGGATGCCATGTTTCACAGGATTGATCCTTCCCTTCACTTCACAAGGCCAGTTCTTGGGCCAGAGTGGTGCACTTTTAATGGTCACAGCCTTATAATGCATCCCAGTGCCTTGTAGAGAAAGCCACCTCTCTTTTCTAGGAAAAGCTCTGTTTATAGAATACCTGCTCTGGGCAAGGCACAAGTATTTTGGTATCCCTTCCAGATAGGGAAACTGAGGCTCAGATAACTTTCCACCCCACTCCACATACTCCTGGCCCCTCCTCTGTTCCTCCCACATCATTCTACATGTGGAGTTTCTGGGCTGGACCCAGGTGGGTCCTCATCTCCCGTCCCTAAAGCACCCTGAAGCAGAGGGGAAACTGAGGCACTGAGTATACATGTGACTTCCCTGAGACTCAGCCTGTAAGTGGCTGAACTGGGACTGGAACTCAGCTTCCTTCTGGAAAAGAGCTATGGACTTAAGGGAGGAGGCCATGCATCCAGTGGTTCCCCCTCCCCATGACACCTCTCAGTGCCCTCATCTACACACTGGCAAGAGTCCACCAGCTGCTGCTGTCCTTGTTTGTCACTGGTGGAAGCACAGTTAATTAACTGGACGTTTGAGGCCTGAGTGCTGGGTCCTAGGCGTGCCTCCGAGAGGACCAGGGCCAGCTTCTATCCGTGGCTTCTCCCATTCCGCTGGGGGTCAGGCTTCTTGGAGGAGGTGGAGTCAAGTTGGGTAGAAGAGCCCTAAATGGAGCAGGACAGGGTAAAGGGCCTTCCTGGCCCTGGGCATCGCAGGGGCAAAAGCGCTAGGAAAGGGCCTGGAGCCCAGGGTGCAGGCGTTGAACGCCGGGGTTGGGATGGGTGTTGTGGGGGCCGTGGCGGACGCTAACCCTGTCCATCACCGTTTCCGCTGACCCTGTCCGTGTCACCGTTTCCGCAGCCCTCCTCGCCGGACCTGGACCGTATAGCGGCAAGCATGCGCGCGCTGGTGCTGCGGGAGGCCGAGGACACTCAGGTCTTCGGGGACCTGCCGAGGCCACGGCTCAACACCAGCGACTTCCAGAAGCTGAAGCGGAAATACTGAGGCCCAGGCAGGGAGCTTCCTGGCCTGGCGTCCGCCCCACACGACACTACACCCCTGCCCCGCCCCCGGGGCCCGCCAATCCGAGTCAGATCCGCGACCGGCCTCCCACACCCTCCGGCTCCAGGACTGACCAGTCTTTGCCAATCCCCGCCACCCTTCCAGCCCACGACCGATCCCGTGCCGACTAGCGGGACCTGTCCAGTTTCCCTTTTGGGTCTGTCTGCTCTCAGCCCAGTGACAGATTCTTTCTATTACGGGATTGGCTTGCTCCCCGATCAGGGCGTGGTTAGGTCAGCTGTCGTTTTCTGCCTAGCAACAAGGGCTTTGCTCGCACGGCATTGGCTCCATTCCCAAAGAGCACAGCCAAGCCCCAGGATTGGGTAGTGGCCATCCACTTCAGTTCCTTCACTTGATTGGCTCGAACCCTGTAAAGGGCTTGACCAATCGCCCGAGAGTCCTATCCGCCCTTCCTGACTTACCCCACCTAATTGACTCCAGGCTCCTGGGGGCGTGGCCAATCTCCTCCTGTGCCCAGGATTGGCCTGTGGCCTTAAATTTACGTTCTTTACACTACTGGGGCTGAGGTCATTTTTTGCCCAGGTCCTGCCAATTGTTCCTCTGGCCCCCTCAGGGATGGCCCAATCCTGTTTCTGCTTCTGACACCCTCTGATTGGTTCCATCCCACAACAGCCTGCCAATCAAAGCCCGTCCTTGTATCCAGGATGTTACCAGCTCCCGCCCCTCTCCCCCACCCCCACAGGTGCCTTAAAGGGCCCTCGTCCACCCAAGGTGGGGGGCAGGGGGCCTCACTCTCCGGCCCTGGTGTGGGGGAGAGCGTGGGGGGTGGGGATTGGGAGTTGGGAGGAGCGCTCTAAGATTAAAGAGTTTTACTTCTGAGAAATGGGTATGAATTGAATTGAGTTGTGGGTGTTCTTTCAACATTTTCTGAAGTCAAATGAGCAGCGTCTCACTGATTCTCAGTGCTAAAGTGGGAATTGAACTCGTCCCCATTTTACAGACAAGAAAACAAAGATTCGTGGGGTGGGAGGAAGGATTCCAGTCCTGTGAGATCATGAAGCGCCAATCTTCAGGGGTGTGAGTGTTGAAATACTTCAAGGAATCACACTCCTGAACCCACATAGTGGCCAGGAACCTCCAGCTGAAGTCGGAAGTTTTCTGGCTAATGTAAGACAGCTAGAAGTAAGAGAACAGGTGACGCCTGGTCCGAAGATGGGGCCAGGTCATGTAAACGCAAAATCTCCATCTCCCATCAGACCATCATCGGAGGAATGCCATCAATAGGCAAGACTTAAATGGGGCAAACTACCACCCAGACACTTCTGTAAGTTATTTATGTGTACTAACTCCTTATCTTCCTAGTAAACCCACGAAGTGGAAACAATTGTCCCCACTTTGTAGATTAAAAAAACTGCAGCACTGAGGGTAGGGGTGCTGTCGGAGCAGGCTTTCTTCTACTGACAGTAAGCATCAATGAGGGAAGAGAATTTCCACCCGCTGTTAACTATCTCCGGCAAAGGGAATGAAAGTTAGAATTCAACGTGGAAACAGGAAAATTTGTGAACAGAGAACCCATCTCCCCCTACTGGACTGAGCCTCACACTGCAGCAGGAGAGATAAAGGTCAGAGCTATAGAGGGACCACAGAGGCCCTGGGTCGATGAAGGGGCGGGGCTTCTGTCGTAGGCGGAGCCAATCCCCAGCCCCCTTGGTAGGCGAGTCATTTCCGTCCACGGAGAAACAGAAAGCAGCGGGCGGAGTAGCGGGCAGGCCGCCTTGGGCCGGACCTCCCTGGTCGGAAGTGGTGAGTGAACCCGAGCCGCGCAAAGGTGAGCGCAGGGCCGAGGCGGGAGTGCGCGAGTTTCTCGGCCTTTGCCTTGAAAACTAGGGGTCCGTGCTTCCAGAGGGACGGAGCGGAGCGTCGTCGCCTGGGAAACGGCGTGAGCCCCAGGCCGGCAAGTGGGTAGGATTTCCCGAGCCTTTAGGGAATGAAAGGAATTCCTGGTGGAGAGGGCGAAAGGAGGCGGGACTTCCTGTAGCAATCTGAGGGCAACCTGCCACTCAAACCTATTAACCTACTTTCCTTTAGGCCGGCTCCCAGGGTGGCCATGGTGGAGGCCCAGGGCCGGCTATGGCTGGAGAGCCCCTCTGGGGGAGCGCCTCCCATCTTCCTGCCCTCAGGCGGGCAAGCCCTAGTCCTGGGCCGGGGACCCTTGACTCTCGTTACCGACCGGAAGTGCTCCAGAAACCAAGGTGGGCTGGGGCGGGGCCTGAGCTGGAGGGGGTGTGGCCTGCTTCAGGAGCGGGAATACAATCAGTGGGAAAGATGGGCAGTCAGTCCAGCGAGGGACGTGCTTGGCCACCAGGCAGAATTGTTTGATGCCGCCAATCCTGAAGTTGTTAGGTGCCATCTGAGGAGCACAGGAAGGGAAAGATTGTGCCTGACCTGAAACTACCCCGACACCTTGCGCAGAAGGGGATGGAATCAATTCTGAGACATCTGTCACTAGGCAGAGAAAGATACTCAGAGGCCACCGTGAAGGCTTGAGTTGGGCCACGACCCTTGTCAAGGAGAGCTGATTCTATGGTGAAAAGCCACATAGTGCTAGCAGGGATGGGTGGTAGCAGGCCAAGCTCAGATCCTACATTGTCAAGGAAAAGCCAATTTTATACAGAAAAGTACCCAACCTATCCCTAAGCGAGGACCAGTGTCACAGGCAATCCTAATGCCTTTATCTGGCTACTGCGTGTGAAGGAGTGAGCCAATCCGAATTAGAAATAAACTGCTTCCTTCTGCTGAATGGGTGCTGTAGCCCCATCCTGTGGCCTGAAGCTGGCCATGCTCCCCGGTGAGGAGGGAAGCAGTCACACAAGGATTCAAATCCTGACTCCACCCCCTCAATCCTCAGTGAAACTGGTCGCAGACCCTGAGACTCGGACTGTGGCAGTGAAACAGGTACCAGTTGGTTAGCAAAGGACAGCAGGCCTCGGGGTAGGGGATGGAGGGTGGGCAGTGGAGAATCCCTTGGGAAAATCTGGCTGGGAGGAAAAGAGGTGTGGCCTGCTTCACTGTGGTAAATATACATCCCTACTTAGCATATGTGCTGCTGAAGCACTAGCCATCCCTATTTAAATTGGATGGAGAGATTGGATGCCTGTAACCTTCCTAAAGCCCTGATTGGTGGTACTCGGTGAAGAGGCGGGGCTTAAGAGTCTGGCTGGTGCAGAAAGGCGAATCCTTTTCCTTGTTATTTGATTGGAGGAGGTTACCGGTGGGGGTGGATCCAGTCCCAGTTCCTCCCTCTTTCTCTACAGCTGGGCGTTAACCCCTCAACTGCCGGGACTCAGGTGCTGAGCCCGGGGTTAGAGGCCTCTCTAGGGGTAGGGGACACGTTGTATTTGGTGAACGGCCTCCACCCGCTGACCCTGCGCTGGGAAGAGGCCCGCACGCCCGAATCCCAGCCAGATACTCCACTCGGTACCCCTCCTGTGGCCCCAGACAAAGAGGAGGAGGATGTTGAGCAGCAGAAAAAGCGAATACGGAAGTCATCCCCTGTCTGGGAGAGCTTCGGGAAGCTGCTAGTGTTCACTGCACCTGATGTGAAGCCTCGGGGCAAGGTGAGGCCCAAGTTGAAGACTGAGGGAGCCACCAGGGAGACTCAACCCTAAGTTTGCTGTGTGCTCCTAGTCAAGTCACTTGACGTCTCTTAGCTTCCACTTACTCTTCTGAGAAATGGACCTGATGAAAAATTCAGGGGTTGTTGTAAGCATTGGAGGAAACAATGTATATCAGCTCCTGTCCAACCCACAGTAACCACCAAGTAACCATAGCTGTGATCGTGATTATTATCAGGAGCTATTGTGATGAGTATTTCTGAGGATCAGAGAGACTTAAGTTCAAATGCTGTTACACCACATTTTCTGAGCCTCGCTTCTCTCATTGGTAAGACGAAGCCACAAAAAGCACGCGTCACAGTGCATGAAGGGAAGTTAGCACCCAAACAAAACTTAGCTCTTGTCTTTCTTTCTGATTATTAGTCCTCTGAGGTGGAAGAGGCCAGGGGAAGAGACTGGGTAGGCTCTGAAGCACACTTTATTTTATTTTTTGTTTTTTAATTTTATTTTACAGGGGGGAAGTAATTAGGTTTATCTATTTATTTGGTTTTTCGAGGTACAGGAGATTGAACCTAGGACTTTGTGCATGCCAAGCATGCACTCTACCACTTGAGCTATAACCTCCCCACTGAAGCCCATTTTAAAGATTGGAGTACTGAGGGGCTCAGGAGGAATAGGATGTAGTAAGGTGAAGCTTTCACTTTCTGCATGCAGGTGTCCGGGTTGCATCCTTGCTGTGCCCTGTCCTTATTACATAAGATGTGTATGGGTTGCTGTGACTCAGTTTCCCCATCTGTCAGGGGCAGGTGGTAATAATCCCTGCCTTGCAGGGTTCATGCGAACCAGCCTGTGAGTGAGGGGGATCAGAGGTGTGACCGTGTTGCTATTCCTCTTTTCTTGGTGACATCAGGTGGCCGGTTTTGATCTAGATGGGACCCTCATCACCACACGTTCTGGGAAGGTCTTTCCCACTGGCCCCAGTGACTGGAGGTGATAAGAGGCACGAGGTGGGGGGAGTGAGGCATGGTGCGGGCCCCAGGTCACCGTGCTCTTCCCTGCCCGCCCTAGGATCCTGTACCTCGAAATTCCGCACAAGCTCCGGGAACTGGATGCCGAGGGTTACAAGGTGTGTATGTGAACGTGCACAGTGGCTGGGTCGCCAGGGAGGCCCGGGCCTGATGAGGCGAGTGACACCCATCTGCTCCATAGTTGGTGATCTTCACCAACCAGATGGGCATTGGGCGCGGGAAGCTGCCAGCAGAGGAGTTCAAAGCCAAGGTGGAGGCTGTGATGGAGAAGCTGGGGGTCCCCTGTCAGGTACGGCTGCAGGGGAGGCTGAAGGTACGGAGAGACAGAGGCTCTGAGACAGGGGTGGGCAGATGAGAGACCCAAGGTGAGGGGAACAGGGACCCAGAGAGAGGGGGACAGAGACACCAAGATGGGGAAGAGAGAAGGGAACAGAGACCCAGGGAGAAGATGTAGCACAGAGAGCCAGTTGTAGATGTGGGGGGA